ACAATTCTCAAAAATCTGAAATTTTGGGAAGTCCTAAGCTATATTTTTTTTACCTTATGACTAAACCCATCACTGAAGGTAACCTTCTATAGAGCAGGAGATAGGTCTTGTCTCTGACATATTAGCCAGAATATACTTTTGGGAATGGGCGTGATGGCTCAGCGGTTAAAGACGCTGTGTTTGTCAGTTGGAAAGCTGACACTCCGGGTTCGAGACCCAAGTATCGCATGGCTGGGTAAGCTCCCATTCTTGTCTCAACTCCTGCCCACCTAGCAGTTCAAAAGCATGCAAATGCAAGTAGATAAATAGGTATCCCTCTGGTAGGAACAGATTCTGTGAGTCTTGGCATATAGAATAGAATAGAATGGAATAGAATACTTTATTGGCCAAGTGTGATTGGACACACAAGGAATTTGTCTTGGTGTAAATACTCTCAGTAAAAGGTATATTATTATTATTATTATTATTATTATTATTATTATTATTATTATTATTATTATTATTAGCCACATGATTATGGAAGTGTCTTTGGACAACATTAAGAAACAGAGATGAGGATTGCTGCCTAGAATTGAACATGACTGGACAAGGGAAACTTTTACTTTTATATTTTCGGGGTGAGCATGCAAAGGTTAAATCTTTGGAAACTGTTTTGACCCTGTTTTCACAAAAACCCAAGTATACTTCTTAATTCTTACCAATAATGTAGGATCAATCTCTGGTAATATTCCAGGAAGCGGCCTGCACAGGAGAAGGGTGACTTCAGGGGATGTTCCCCTGAGAGCTGAGATGACTTCCTAAAGGGCAAAACATTAGAACATACAGAATGTTTTTGGGCTGAAGGCCGCACTTGAACTTTGAATGAACCATACAGACTTCAAAGACTGATTCCAAGACACGGTAGAAGGTTTGCAATAGTGGCGAATATCTGTAGCTCAGGTGTAGGATGAAAGTTCATTCTCTTAGCTTGTGGTCTCCAAATGTTTCATCACCAGGCTGTTTTTCTGTTTATGAGGGCTTCGTGTGGTCACCTCCCACTGACTCTCACCTGATGTAACCTCCCTATCATAAGACCCCCACAGATGAATCCAAGGGTGGGATTCCACCAGTATAACAACCAGTTCGATGATTGCGCGCTTTGTACTTAGAAAAGCTTTAATACTTACCTTCTACAGCAGTCCTGTGAATAAAACAGCTGAGGCGTGGCAAACCACTCTGACACGCAAATCAGCTGTGCTCTAAACAAAGGAAATAAAGCACAGGAAAGAGCAGTCTGATCTTCGGAGTAAGGGATTCATCTGAACTGGTCCAAAACGGTAGAATCCCACCCTTGGATGACTCACGCCTTACCCATCACATTACAAGACCCTCACTTGACATACCTACAGATGACCAATCACAAGACCTACTGACCACAAGAAGCCCTTATAAATGGAAGAACACGGACATTGACATCCAGAGGTGGTATTCAGCAAGTTCTGACCAGTTCTGGAAAACCAGTAGCGGAAATTTTGAGTAGTTTGGAGAACTGGCAAATATCACCTCTGACTGGAGATTTTACAGTATCCTTCCCCTGCCACGCCCACCAAGCCATGCCCATAGAACTGGTAGTAAAAAAAAATTGAATCCCACCACTGCTGACATCCCCTAAACTCTGCTGAAGATGTTACTTAGCCCGATAATGAAATGTTCGCAAACCAACCCACAAGCTCAGAGAATGAATCTTCACCCTCAGAGTAGAAGGCACTAACCTGCTGAGATAATCCTTTTAGAGAAGAACCATTGACTTTCAGGATGACATCTCCGACCTCAATCTGCCCACTCTCTGCAGCTGGTTGTCCCGGAAAGAGCTTTTTCACCCTGACTATACTGGAACCCGGCTGTTCTGGGGAGACGCTATCTTCACGGCAGAAGCTGAAACCTAGGCCAGAACTGTTTTTCACGAGTTTCACTTCAAATGTATTGTCTGAAAAAGGAAATGAACCAAGTTACTGCACACCTGGAGATGCTGACAGTTCATCTGTACACACTCATCCTAGGTCTTGAATCTGAGCAGCTAAAGTGTATCTGTAATAATCAGAAAGTTGAACAATGTTTGGTGTGTAACCTTGAATGTATGCAGTTGCTGCAACAGGATGAAAACAGGACATTTTTTTTAAACATTTCATAAAAATCTTGGGAGAGTGAGATCCATCTGAAAATAGTATTAGGATTCCTGGACAGATAAAAAATGCAGGAGCTAAGAAATAGTTTATAGATGTGCAGTGAAAAATAGATTATGATTTAATCTGTTGTTTGAAGCATTGTTTATTGTGTTTTTAGGCCATTCTTTGTCCCAGTGGAGCAGGCGTAACACCGTTCCAATAAAAGCAATAATGTTTAAAACAATAAATGCAAACATCTATTTATTTATTTAACAGAGTTCAATTTGAAGACGGCAGGCTGGCAATAGAGTAGACAATCTGGTTCAGCAGTAGTGATGCAGAGTGTAAGTATGAAACACGAATGAAGGCTAATATATGTGTCCCAGAATAATGTTGCAGGATCCAGTCGGTGACTGACCCCCTTTTTGGATCGGATGCATAACTAGTCTTCACTCCTTATTTGCTTTGTAGCTTTTTTTCAATAAACTGCAAATAGATTTTGTACAACAGGCTAAGCCAGAATGAAACAAACCACATTACGACTTATATTAGACCTGTGATGGTGAACCTATGGCACGCATGCCCAGGTGACACGCAGAGCCATTTGTGCCGGCACGCGAGCCGCAGGCAAACTTACCTCACTGCACATGCGCGCACCTCCCAGCTGATTTTTGGCTGGTTTGAGGCCTTTTTCAGCCTCCCAAGCTTGAGGAAAGCCTCTGCAGCCTGAAAAATAGGCCCGTTTCATCACTTCCGGTATTTCCAGAAATACAGGAAATGATGAAACGGGCCTATTTTTCAGGCTGCAGAGGCTTTCCTCAAACCTGGGAGGCTGAAAAAGGCCTCAAACCAGCCAAAAATCAGCTGGGAGGCAAAGTGCAGGTAAGAGGGTGGGGAATTGCGCATGCATGCGCAGGGGACGTGGGGCGCACGCATATTGCCTTCTGGGTGCTGGCACATGAGTACACGTGCACAAGCGCGCGCATAATTTTGGCAAAGGAGCCCAAAAAGGATAGCCACCACTGTATTAGACTGTTATTGCTCCAACCAAACCTTAGTTCTTATCTTTCCTTTAAGGCTTCAGTTGTATTTGGACAGAATCTCACCATCAGTGACAAAGTTGTATTCTCTGGCACTTGAAGTCTTCTTCACAGGTTTTTCTAAGAGCGTACTATGACCGGGATTGTTTGTAGGTGTGCACTGTGATGTCGTGGGAGCATGGATTCTGGCTGCTGGAAGTTGGCCCTTTTCTAGTACTAGATGAACCTCCTGCAGAGGGAACCACAATTAGGTGGGGCTTTAATAATCAGACAGTTCTTAGGTATGATGGCCAACCTACAGAATTAATTGAAAATGGTTAAAAAGTGAGGACATTGAGATTCTCTCTGTCTGTTCCATAATTCCAAACAACAGGAACACTTCCCATTGCCATAAGAGGTAAAAAGCGTTGAATGGTTTGGGTGGTGGAAAAATTTGGGTGGTTGGCATGTATTACAATAGTTGCAATGTTTCAGGGATCATGTGATCACCCTTGTCAAAACTTCTCAGCCAGCTACCCACAAGCAAAGTTAATGGGGGAAGCTAGATTTGCTTAATAACCATATTTTCAAACCCCACACTTCTGGGATAGCTCGGGACAAGCAGTCCAACACTACAAAGGCTTCCATACAAAGATAATTTATTGGATTATATCAGGTATCCTCAAGATATAACTTACAATTATGTTGAGATGCATCTAATGTCCAATCTTTGCCTTAATAGTTGCCTCAAGAGCGTGAAAAGATGGTTATCTTCATCCCATAGCATAATAGCAAAGGAAAACTCCAGCATGATGTTGGGGTCCAGGTAAGAATGCCCAAAAACTCCCCCAGTCCAACCAGAGATCAATTCAGTGACCAATAAGGATTACAGATGTGACCATGTGACATGAACTACATCTCCCAAGAGACATTAACTACATTTCCCTTAAGGGAGCAGCTCTCATTCCTAAACTAACTATATACTGTCTAACCAGTGCACATATTGATTCATTTAACAACCATGGCAAAATGGTTGTAAATTCAGGTGCAACTCACTTAACAACCACTTGACTTAGCAATGGAAATTCTGCTCCCAATTGTGATCATAAATCAAGGACAACCTGTAAACAGTTCTGGAGATGACTACCTAAAAACACCAAAGTTAAGCAAGACTTCAGTCAGATGGCTGATTCAACTGATTCACTCTTTGAATCAAACTGGTAAATCAGTGGGAGTCTTTGAATTATCAGCCAAGCTTTGTGCTCATACACAGATATATATTTTAAATAGAATTGCCTTTTCAAGGGGAACTAGAGTAAGCATTGCTGATATGACTGAGGATAAGTTTCAATATGGTTTCTTGTTTGTTCCTGGGATTATAATAATGTAAAGTGCCCAAAGTCAAGAAGACTGTCATTTCCTACCTGGCCAGTATTTCTCATGATTTCCACAGCCTGTTTATGTGTTGCTCCTTCCAATGTGATCCCATTAACAGAAAGCACTCGGTCACCTAACAGCCAACAAGAGATATTTATAACAATAAAAAGAAGCAAAGAGGTAGGTCTGCCACAATCTTTTATCTAATTCAATAGCCATTTATCTGAATAAGGCATTTACAGATCAAGAGTACTTCTGAATCTGAACCCTCATAATCAAAGCTGGACTGCAAAACTTCAAACCACCACTAGATAGTAGCAAAATGGGCAGGAAACAGAAAACTTCACTGCTTTGCTGTCATCTATTGTTCAACCAGGTATAAGCAGGCCAAATTTGGTAGCTATATTTACAAGCAGATATAATTATGATAATCCCAAATGGTTCCAATAATGTAAAATTTGAATACTTAAGATTTTTTTTTAGAAACATTGCTGAAGCTAACTTGAAGCACTGATTTATCAAACTCAAATGAGTGGCAGTAGCTTTCCAGAGTGTCAGATGGCTTAATCTAGGACAGACTATGTTCAAACCATGGGATCTTCCAGAGCTATGGTCTCTATTTGAAGCTGCCTTTCACAGAAATGCTATTTACATGAGAATTGTCTAGTGACTCTTTCAGGCAGAATTTTTCTACACCTACGTAGAAATTTGATGTGGAACCTTTTGGATGCACCTCAGATCCTCTACCGCTCGGCTGTGGTCCCTCTGACTATCTATGATGAATAATAGCATTAACAAGGGATCCGGTTTGAGCTTCTTCAGCGACAGACCGAAATCTGCGACTGTGCACAGTTTCGATCTGTGCTCGCCGCTGGAGCATCCCGAGCCAGCTGGTTTAGGGGCTAAGCCATACCATAGAGGTGGTGAAGAGCGGGGAGACTGCCAGCAAGGTCGAGCAGAACCGCATCTCTCCTCCCCAGCTGGCCATTACTCTCTTTCCCGAAGGCGATTGCAGCAGTGGTCAGAAATGGCCACCTCAAAGAAGAACTCGACTGGAAAAGAATGTGCAGGAGGAAGATAAGAAGAGAAAGTTTTGGGCTGATCGGGTCGAACTGGAAAAACAATAATACAAGATACCCTGGAATTTGAATTATAAAGAACAACATTGTTCCCAAAGAAGACTTTGAAGCTGCGAATGAGAGGGGGAAGGGAAAGGATTTGGTTTTTTTCCCCTTTTCTTCCCTATATTGACAACTAAGAGATTTAAGCAAGAAATCGGCAAAAATCCACTTTGACATTAACAGGTATTTAAGCTGAAAATAAAATGTCAAATGGATAATAAAGGTTTCTGGATTCTCAAAAACTTTTAAAAGAAGGAAAAAAACAAAAGGGTAGGATCTGGAAAAAGGGAGGAGTCCACCTGGAAGTGAAAGGAATGAACAGTGAAACTTTAACAAGATTCCTAAAAGATACATTTTAACTGAAACTTTGTAACAAGAGAAGAGAATCCCAGGAAGAGAAAGTGGAAAAAAGAAGCAAGAAGAAACAGTTTTGGATTATTTGGATTACTTCGTGATTTTTGGATTTTTGGCTATTGGATCTAAAGGACTAAAATCAATTGGGTGGTTGTTTAAACGTTTTTAAAATGGTATCACTCTTGGAAGAATTGAGAATGGAAATTAAAAAACAGAAATAAGATGCACAAGAAGGAAGAGGTTCTTTTGGCTTCGTATTTCAATTTTTAGAAATGGAGATCCTGAACTATGAGAAACAAGAAATGCCTGTAGAACAAGAAGGGCGGGACAAAGAAGAAGCCATCTTCAATGACCAAGTATTTCTATGTGGGGAAAAGAAAGGAAAAGGGGGAAAGAGAGTGAAAAATTTAAGATCTGAAAAAACAACTCAAAAAAAGAATAGTTTGAAAAGTAATTATAACATTAGGAAGAAACAGAAGAGAGGATTACAGAAGAGAGAATCAGAATTAGAGAGAGAAGGGGTCAAAAAGGGAAGGGAGAAGAAGAGGGAGAAGAGGGAAAGGAAAAGAATTATATAAAGGACAGAATCAGGACATAGAGCAGGGGTCTCAAACTCAATTTACCTGGGGGCCGCTGGAGGCAGAGTCTGGGTGAGGCTGGGCCGCATAAGGGATTCCACAAAAAACGTTAAAAAAATATCCTCAAATGTCATCAACAGTTAATGATTTCTTCAATACATGAACTGTCCTGAACACATGAATGGAACATTGAATGAAGATCATGAACAGTTCCTCAGAACATGGCTTCTCCAGCTTACTCCTTGCTGCCAGAGATTTGACAAGGCTTCCTCTCACATATCTGAGCCACATTTGGCTTGAGAGAGGAGGCACTTGAGACCCTCAGTATGGCTTGAAGATGATCATCAGTAAGTCTGGACCTGTACTTGGACTTGTTAAAGTTCAGGGTGGAGAAGAACTTTTCGCACAAATATGTGCTCCTAAAAAGGCACATGGTCCGCTTGAACATTCGGGAAAGCTCAGGGAAGCTGGGGGGCAATTCTCTCAAAAATTGCCCATGCTTGTCTGCTTTTCCATTCACCTCCCTAAATTTGGCCTTGAGGTCAGAGTTGCATTGCAGGTCAATAAGCTCCATTTGAAGCACAGGAGGGGCATCTTGCACATCAAAGGTGAAGGGGTCTGCAAAAATTTGAAAAGTGGCTCTGTGCATCTTGAAGTCTGCAAATCTGTGATCAAATTCCTTCTGTAGCTTCAAAATAGCATCAACATACTTCTCACCACTGAATGGTGTGCCTGCATCCACAAGTGCCTTGCATGCTGGGAAATGGCAAAGGTTTGTCTGAGAGCTGGGCTTTCCATAACACAAGTTTTGTGGAGAATGCTCTCACGTTGTCATAGGCAGCACTGACAAGCTGCCCCTGGCCTTGTAACTTCTTGTTCAGTACATTCAGCTCATGTGTGATGTCGACAAGAAAAGCTAAGTCCATGAGCCATTTCTGATCATTCAACTCGGGAACAGCCATC